TGCATCCTGTGCTTACTTAAACTAAACAATGATCATAATATATTTAACGAATTTTTAACAGTATTTACAAATTACATTCGAAGCAACCCAAAGCAAGTGGGTCCCCACTCTGAATTTAAAAATGGCTTTTTCTGTTGGGCGTTGATTTAAAAGAATCAAAGTAGGCCGAAATTGAGACAATAAGGCTATTGAAATATCAGGGTAACTCTTTTGCTATAAATTGTTAACTAATTTACCAATAAATAAAAGTCAATAAAACAATGATTAAAAAAAATTACCAATAAATGTTGGATTGTAAAAATTTACAAGGGATCTAACGGCTTATATTTTTGCCTTAGATGGCAAAAAAATTCATCCAATTATTAAAATATTAATTTTTTTTGCAGTTCTTATGCTTTTGTATTTATAGAATTGCTTTTTTTCGATACAATCAATTTCCATTATATGAATGTCTTAAATTATTTATTTTATTCGACTAACGCTCGCTATGTCCGAAACAAGTTCAACTTATATCCGAAATATTAGGGCATCAGACACTTTTCGGTCTTAATTTTTCTTTCGGTATATGTGAAATTTGAAATACACTACTATATTGTAATTAATATTTCAGTTTATACACTTCAATTTGTAACTAAATTAAAAACGACTTTGATAAAAGTTTTATATATATGATATATGTATATATATATATATATATATATATATATATATTCAATAATATTATGCAAAAATTTGCCAAAATATATATAATAAGAATTCTTAATATTTGTATTTAGAAAATTTAATATTAATTAAGACTTCTATATTTCCAGGTGAAATTTGCACCCAAAGTATCCGTAGCAGTAATAGGTATCGATACATTCCCCGGAGGTCGCATTCCAGAAGGAAGTGAAGTTCAATTTTCTTGTAAAGCTGAAGCAAATCCGCCAGAACTGACTTATAAGTGGTTTATAAATGACGAACCAGTAGTTGGAGATTACACAACGTTAATGGTACCTATTATATCCAGTCGTTTTCATGTAAAAGTAGATAATTTAGTAAGATTCCATTAACTAACTATTACAGATAACTGATATTATAGTTAATGACCGGAACAATTAAGCTTATATGTCATTATATGCCATTGACATATCTGGGAGGCTAATTATAATTGTATTTATATCCACGTAGCTATTACAAATTTAGTTGATATTAAAAATATATACTCTAAATCTCGATAATATACTAAAGAGAACATTTTTAATATTTTATTTTATATTGTAATTTGTTAGAGTATTTTTACACAAATTTTTATTTTCTATTTTATTATTATTTTTTTCTTTAATTTTATTCATTCAACATTGTTTTATACTGAATAGAAAATCATTTCTTTAAATATCGCCTGGTTTTTTATTGGTAATTTCAACAATATTTGTAATTCTGCTTTTGCAGTGCAATCATAAAATTTTAATGTATTTTTTTATAATTATTAATTAAAAATATCTTTTAATTTACTAGGTAATGTACAATGTGACAAGGGCTTATCACGACGCAATCGTCAAGTGCGAAGTTCATAATCCTGTTGGAAAATCTGAAGAAAGTGAAACCTTAGATATAAGCTGTAAGTATTCCTGTTTAATTAATTTTGAATATATATATAAATATACATATATATATATATATATATATATATACGATTAAATGTATACGCATCATGAAAATGGGAGCATAGGACAGTCTTTTTTTGATTTCACACTCAAAAAATTTAAATGCTGCATCCCTCACATTTTTACAAACGTGTTTAAAGATATTTCTTATAAATTATAATGAAAATTCAATTTAACGATCTTGTTAATTATATCATAATCAATGATAATCTTAGTTTTAGTCTAGTTTAATTTATTTTTAATATTATTATTTAAAATGTCTTCAAAATTTAATTGTTTACATACATAAGTTACAAACTTTTGTAGAGATCAGTCTATTTGGTATAATCTTTATTTTTAAATTACAGACTTGACATCAACTGAAAATTTTTTTATATGAAATATTTATTCTCCAAATGTTTTAAAATGGTCTTCATTTTATTTTAGTATCTTTATTTCACACAATATAGGCACAGTGTTAACAGTGGTTGACGGATATACTCGTTCTGGAAAATTAATCTAATTTTGTGTATTGACGAGTATATTCGTTGTATAAAATAGTAATCATTTTCTATTTAAATTAAAATTTTTGAAAAAAAATAAAACAAAAGTTTTTGATATATCATATGTAGAAAAGTCGAGAATGGCATTTTACCTTAAGGCAAGTTGCACGAAATGCGGAAATAATTGTAATACTTAATCGAATAGAACCATTAAGATTAAGCTATTTAAATAACATTATTTACTGTTTAATTTGATAATAATTTTTGTTGCTAGTACAACTTGGTAGGTAAACTCTCTGATTGACTAATATACTCGTCATGAGATTTTGGACGACGCAAAAAAGTATCGTTAACTGTAGTTATCTAATTAAATATTAACCAAGCAATCTATGATATATACTACTCTTTGCTGAGTAATATATCTCAATGATAATTGTAAAAGATAGCCCATTACGTTCATCATTTTCGAGACAAATTTTCATTGATTTGAGAATAAATAGTTCATATTAAAAGACTTGTAAAAATTCTTGTTATGCTTATGAATCTCAAATATATACATATACACATATATAAATAATAATATTACAATTATATTACATTTTATTACATTAATGTAGGGTCATCCATTTAACTTTTATTTGGCAGCCATTTGCAATTTTTTGGCAGCCATTTGCAATTTTTTGGCAGCCATTTGTAATTTTTAGCAGCCATTTAAAATTTAGGCAGCAATTTAAATAAATCTAATTTTCATTATTTACCGAAAAGATTATACTGTCAAATAAAAAATAAGTAGTTTGGCGAACCCGTTATATATGTATGTGTATAATATATATTTTATGCAATCAGAGTTTATGAATGTAATCTCTTCCATACTTCCGTGTATTCTTATTGTTTTGAATTATTTCATAACACCTAAATAGACTTATAATCCAGTGTCCATTGTTAGCTACATTCCGCATTTACATATGAGTTTATCTCTACATTCAGATGGTCCCCGGTTCCGCACTAGACCTCGGTCTGTCCAAGCAGATAACGGAGCAACCGTAGCGCTTAGCTGCGACGTAGACGGTAATCCTACGCCCGACATTATATGGATATATGAGGAATCACAAAAGGTACTTTTCGGTTTCATTCATAGACTAAGAACCAAGAGCTATTGTTTGTCATTAATTGTTCTTGGATTTATTCCTTGGCATGAATCTGGATACTTTTGTAAAAGATCTCTAGCTGTGCTTCGAAACTTGCTTGCAAGATAAAATTATATACAGTTTTAAGACTTTGTTGAATATTAAAACCATATTTTAACTCATATACTAATTGTGCATCAATTTTAAAATTTAAAACGATTTTATAATATTTTTATCTGCCCATATTTATTCAATTATTCATTCTAGGTTGTCGGCAATTCAGCAAATTTAACATTAACCGTCGTACCAGAAACTGCAGGCCGATACTATTGCAAGGCATCTGTCCCTGGTTTCCATGAAATCGGTGCCAGAGCTCAAGTTTACTTGCGTGGACCTCCTGAAATAGCTTCTGGATCTACACAATTCGGAATCACTGGCGATACGGTAAATTGATAAATTATAAGCAATGTTAACTGTTATTTGGTATATATTCCTAACTGTTGATACACGAGAGAGGAAAGTGAGATGGAAACTATTGTTCCATGGAACAAATCGATCTGAACGATACTCAATAAGTACTTATACAAGTCAAAAGGTTTTATTTTTATGTTTTAAGCGTAATTGTCTAAATTTACAACAATTACATTAACTTGTATTAGCAACATTATTGCTGAATGAATATTATACGTATAAATATATGTATATTATTATACCACATCTAATATTACTAGATAAAGTATAATGAATAATACTGGCAAGAGTAAAAGATCATCTTCATTGACTTCATAAAGCTTCAAAATTGCATATTGATATGATTTTGGATTATTTTACCTAATGAGATAATTTCATTTGAACACTTGCATTTTACATAGCGAAGAGCATATGAGCCATTTTCTTATCTATGATATGAGATATTATAAAACAGCAGCAATTACAACTCATTGTAGATAATTCCTTGCGCATGAAGTTGTTATCTCTATAGACTTTCAACAATATTTGTTGTAATTATTATTATAAGATTAAGAAGATTAATCTCATTAATCTCATTAATTGATTCTCAGGTTCGTTTAGAATGCATAGCTCATTCTGTGCCGCGTCCACAACGTGTTTCATGGTCACGATGGGGTCGTGACATCGAGCCTGGAAGCAGCAGTAGTGCTTCCACAATAAGTGGAAGTGGTGGACTGTCCAATAGTGACGATGCTGAATATAGTGTCCTGGAAGATCCTTTACCAGATGGTCTTAAAAGCACATTAATTGTTAGAGATAGCAGACCAAGACATTTTGGAGAATACAATTGCACAGCAGCCAACGAATACGGCGCAGATGTTATGGCTATCAGACTTGTCCCAAGAAGTAAGTTAAATAATATTTATATATAGATTTAACTTATCAAAATTTTCTCTACAAACTGAAGAAATCACAACAGTTGTATTTGATTTTCGGTACTTATTAAAGTTGAAACTATTCTTTTTCAGAAACTTTCCCTATGCTTTTAACAATAGTCGGAGCAGTTGCTGGCGTCATCCTAATAGTTATAATTACCCTCTCGGCCATTCTATGCCAAAAACGAAAACGCAGAAGGCACCACCATGAAAACAGTGCCCGTGACATGAAATCTGCAGGACGGCCACATGACGAAAAATCTATGGATGGAAATAATCACACTACTATTATCACGAATCAATGTCGAGACAGTGACCGAAGTTCTAATGTTAGTGATTTAAAATTGGAATTAAGAGAGGATTGCTATTCTTCAAATCAAGAGTATTCTGAAGCTGGATCGGATGGTGGAATAAACAGGACGAGCATTGGTATACCGATGACAGGACCTGTGAATTTGCCTGGTGGGGAAATTTATAGATACTCTGCTGATTATACAGAACCACATTTTCCTCCAAAGAGCAATGTAAGTACTACTGAAATATTTCTTAATGATTAATTTAAAAAATAGTAGAAGAAATACTAAAATTTGAAATATTCATGTTATTTTCCTTATTGTAATTTAAACAATAACATGTATGTTATCTTTATACTTCAGGATGGTCAAAACAACAACGGATACGTACCATACGTCGATTACACACGTGACTACAACCCACCATCTCTTACCATGAAACCTGCTTTACAACCAACTCTCGAGTCTTCAAGAGAAAGCCTACAATCAACACGTCTACATCTAAATAGTCTCCATTCCAACAATTCTTTATCTTCAAGTGGAACTCATGTCACCGCTCATCACCATCCAGCTGGACAAGTGGTGTCTAACGGTAGTATCATGATGGGCGGCGGCGGCTCTTTGACGCGCCGGCAAAATATTGACGGAAGTGGTTCTACGTATCCTTCAAATAGTCTGCAAAGAGGTATTAAGGATTCTAGACATGAAAATGGTCTGCCAACTGTTATGCCGCCTGCAATGCATGAAATGTCATTGATGCCAAATGGAGGGTTACATCCGCCAGGTAAAATAATTGATCGATAATAATAATAATAATAAATAGTAGCCGGTCCAAAGGCAGTGTGAGAGCACGCCAAATCAATGGATCTCCAATCCTTGTTTATTATTCCCATTTCTTTTATCATTATTTGCTTTTTATACATTTGTATGCAATGTTTTTCCCAAACTTTTGCTTTCTTACTTTCTGGTCCTGTGGTTCTTATGCTTTTAATTGCCTGCATTTTCTGTTTTTGCGTAAGTCATCAATTATCTGCATTCATTCATCACATAAGTTTAAGTGATGGCTGGTTACACATTTTGTCCCTTTACTTTAAAATAGTATCGGTAAAAAGTACCATGCATTATTTGTTTCTGAGATAATGATTGCTGAACTTTTTTTTTTACCCTTTATGCCCCTACATTATTTTTGTTCCTACTAAATTCAATTTTTACGTTTCTTACACCACCCAACAATGCCAAAGGGCTATTTTTACCTTTTTTTTTGCTTTAATCTGTCATTTTAGGAGGCGCAATTTCAAATTATAAGTTGGTGGTTGTAAAGCCAAAGCTCTATCACTGCACCACGACTTTCGAAAATATTTCAGTTCTACATATAAAAAAATTAAAATTATGTGATATAGCTTTTAAAAATTACTCAAAGCATAAGTTCAGTACATATTACGTAATAATATATTATAACAAATGTATAAGACCTTTGATAATGATGAGTTCCATACGAATTTTATAAAAAATTATTAAGCTAAGCTTAATTATTTTTTTGTTTATTTCAAATTGTGTTGAGTTGTCTAGTCTACTTATTAAAATGTCAAAAATTCTTCTTCTTCTCAATCTTTTTAGTACTTATCTTTTACTGTCGACTACATTATGAAGGATTTTTGCAGAGTGGGTCTGATCCAGATTTCTTTCCGTTAAATGATCTAGTTCAGTAATTTTTTTTATTTGTTACCTTATCTTCTTTACTTTCTCCATTCGTATCCAGCATCACATTTCAACACTGTAGGTAGTTTTTGTCGGCCTTGCTTAGAGTCCATGCCTCTGATCCATGATATGCATATAAAATTATGATATACATTGTTGTAACGTTCTTTTCTCACAAACGTCTCTCGATTATATTATTATTATTTCAATTATATGTTAACTAGATGTTTATAATTAAAATATATTTTTTCTCCACCAGGAATAGATGCAAGGTATTCAGTAACGTACGGAAATCCTTACCTCCGGTCTTCGAGTACATCTTTACCTCCTCCGAGTACGGCAAACCCGTCAGCGACGCCTGCACCCCCGCCATATTCCCGTCGTCCTGCGGTTCCGCAGACCGAGGTCGCGGGGCCCGGACCTCAGGTCGCGCGACTGCCGAGCTCTCCCACGAGTCAGTACATCGTCCCAGGCGCCGCGCAAACGCACAGCGTCAAGAAAGGAACGCTGGCGACGCACGTGTGAGCCGCGACCCGGTGTTGTGCATTGATCGCGGTTCGTAACTGGCGTTATTCGATTCGCCTTGCCTTCGCGAGGTTTGTTACTCGAATTCCAGAAACTTTTGAAGTGGTCAGTGTTATTTTATCCGGTATTTCGGAAAAGTCAATTGTGAACTATATAAATATGAATGTTATTAAAAAATTATTGAACGATTTAAAAAGACAATTAAAATCTAAGTGTGCTCTATATTTCAATAATTGAAGGGTACTTGGGATTAATTGATGTCTAATGAGTGTACTAGGCAAAATGAATATGGTGATTACTAGAATATTCAAAATTGAATGTATTTAAGGTCTCAGGTATCGTTTCACCAGTAACACTGATGGAAGTTTAGATAATGGTATAAAATATGTGCGACCTTATTACCAGTGGTGTTGTCGATCCGGAACGCTCCGGAACGTCGTTCCGGTACTTCCTTTTTGGACAAAAACGCGTTTCGGAACTAAATATTATTTCTGACAACGAGCAATCCCTGACGTGCTAAAAAAATTTCATAATTCATGACGAATTTGTATATGTATTATTTATTATTCAAAGGTTTGAACCGAACCGGAACCGGAGCAAACCGGCATGTTTTTCCGAAAACCGGAACGTTTTTTTACTACCAGACTGGAATTTGAACCAAACCGAGATGAATACAAAAACAGGTTTTTTTCAATTTTTGCGTTCCTGTAATAAAAAAATAGCACAACACCATTGCTCATTCTATATAGTATTCTCTATAGTATCCTCCAGTTATTGTTAAGCATTGTACGAGCATGATTTGCTCAAAATCTAAAGGTAAAAATTTGTTTGTTTGTTCTAAATTATTCACGTATTTATTTTTGGTATAATTACTTAACTAAATTATTTTTTGGACTTATATATTATATTATATCCGATTTAAAATTAATATATCGCATGTTACATTTTATTATACTTACAGTATTTTAAATGATTTTTTCTTGTTGCAAAGCTAAGACAAGTCAGTATTTTAACTTAATATTATTATTTAATTCAGCAACTTGGTTGTTAGTTGAAATTTTTTATCAAGTGGATTCATTTTTAAGAATATTTCCATACATGTATAACTGAAATGCAAAGTCGATGCATTTCATAGTAAGGTCTTCCTACTAGTGCAATTAAATTAGTTTTTCATAAAGTGTCGCCCATGGGTTTTAAGACCTTAAAGTTTTTTTTATATTTATTGAAATTAAATTATATATGCAATCTGATAAAAGTCAATATATTTATAAAATATCAATTATGGTGTGATTATATATTTGCATGCGATTTATTTAAAGAAAACTTATTTATATTATTTATAATTATATTTGCCTAAAAAATTCAAATTAGCAAATTATAGGCGCACACGGAAAAAGTTAATTAATTAGTCAATATGCAATTTTACATTTCATGAGAAGTCTAAATGATAAAGTCTATTAGCATAATTACGTGTGAAGAATAAACGAAATTCCACATGTACTTAAGACTATTGATATTAAATCAAAATTAAATTGATTGTTAGCCAATAGAAGTATAGCTTCGAAAATCGGTATCGATGCGATTGTTTATAGAAAATTATAAAAAATATAAAAAATGAATGACTGTACTAGATATTATTATAGAACCTAATGATAAAACAGATTGGCCTAATATTTAGACCATGCTTTGTGCATATACATAACTGTAAATACATTTGTTGATCTAATTCACCTAAAAATATTTAAATAGATTTTTAACTAGAAATTGAAGCTTGGAATTAGGAGTAATTTATCAGCCATATGTTTACGTTACAAAACTACAGGGTTTGTAAATTGTCATTCATCAGTTACACATTTATTCGGTACAGAGAATGATTATTAAATCAAAATATATATTTTTGAAGTTCTACAAAAATTTGTTAGTATTGCCATAATTGTTATTAAAGTTTAATGGAATCATATTTTTATAATCGAAATAATTCAATTATAGTTCAGTATCTATATTATTATTATTCGTATTATTATTTAATTCGATAATATATATTTTTATGATTCAATATATATTTATAATGTGGAAATATACAATCATGCATATTATAATGAAAATTCCAAATTTTATTTTAAATATTGGAAACTTTAAATAAAACTAATTGAATTATATTGAAAACCTTAATTAAAATTAGTCATCCTCTAAGCATAAATGAATTTTGTTATAAATTTATTTGAGTGTGATAAGTATATATCCACATTTATATTTACTTATTAGTTATATAAGTTTTATTATAGTGTTTGCATGTTTAGTTTAAAATTTACTTAGTGTGTTTGGTTTGCAATGGTTTTCAATAAGATATTTATCAATGCCAAAGAAATGAAGCTTTTAAACTTGTTTCTAATTAATTAGTGTGTTTTGAATTGTGTTATTACTTTGTGATTTTGATTTAATTTTTTCCTTTTTGATTTAAGAACATTTATATAAATATGTAAATACAAATATAATTTTTCAGTATTGAATTATAGTACATACTGTATATAATTGTATTTACTGCTACCTAAATATATTAAGAAGTTGATTTTTAAAATTTATATTATACATCAATCACTTGAATGAGAAATTTCATTATTTCATTCATTCGAATGAAAGTTGCTTCACTGTAAATACTTCTATAACACTCAACTATCATATCAACTCATTTATAATCAGAGTAATTTGAACTAATGAACAAAATCTGTGATTCATACTCAATATTTTGATCGTGGCAATTTGGAAAAACTATTACTAAATAAGACATAATAAGCTTTCGACATATCAGATGTATATTTCTGGCTTTTATACTTTGATGCTGTATTATGTACGTGTAGACACTATTGCAACATTATAAAATATATATTATACTTTAATATATATAAAATTCCATAATGAATTGAATGCATCGATTTCCAAATGATTTAATGAATATAAAACAAAAATTTATTTATTTTGAAATAGTAACTCTGGCAGATTACAGAAATATATCATCTTTATCATTTGAAATACTCACCTCGAAAACATTATTTGGGAAAGAAAAGCATTCAATTTATTGGATAAAATTTAAGTTTTTCCATTTGCCTATGAAATCTATTTATGATTTTTCCATCTATGAAAATATCATTACAATCTCAAATGTGCTATATATTGCTTGTTGACCGTTTAAGATGATTTAGCAGAAAATATATGTGTAATAAACGATAAAAATCTGAAAAATTCATATAATTATTTGCATATGCTCATGCAATAATTACATGTAGTATTTCTCTGTATATTTATATATCATAACCTTTTCTACTTTTATCTATAAATTTTTATTAGTTTGTAAGCTATATACATAAACATACTACATATAAAATATTATACTATATTTTATTTTTTATTATTATATATAAAACAGATTTTTGATGACAAATTATCAATATCTTTTCATATTAGCAATGTCATGCGAAATGGCGTTTTCTCTAAAGTTGTGAATATGAATTTGCCTAAATAAATGAGTTAAAAATAAAATCGATTTTTATTCTCTACATTTATATATTTACAGTAAGTTTGATATTTATTGTCAATTTCAAAACAAATTTCGTTCGATGAAGTGGATGCTTCTTTGCATTATAAAGGATTCATATCGTGGAATCAATTTTATCATATTTCATTGATTTTTATACATTTTACTGGAAACATAGAAACCATTTCATGTTTCAAAGATACATGTTTTATAACCTGTCATTTAAAGTTCAGCTCAGGAAGAAATAATTTTAAAGAAAAAAATAATTACCGACATATAAAAAAAATAGGTAAGAATTTGCAATTGTAATGAAGAATACTCAATGGAAATATAAGACAAGTGTGCAAATAAACAGAAATTATTTTAATAGCCCCGATTTCTTTCCATGTAACTGGATAAGCTCCTCATTATAGATATATAAACTGTTAGGGGTTATCCACCCATTTGTTATAAATATAAATAATATTATAAACTATATAACGGAAAAATACAAACTACCCAGTTGTAATGAATTACTCATGCTATTACATTGTAACTTCGATAAGCACAACATGTGCTCAGAAATACTTTTCCAATGCTTTCTAACCGCAAAAACGTTGACGATACTTGTAGTACTCAAAGAACGAGTAAACGAAGTCATAAATCATTGTTTTCTAGGAATGTAGAACACACCCTGGGGAAAATAATACTTAAGCTTGTGAACGATGCAATGAAGAGTCAGTATGAGTTAAGGGGAGAATGAGTTAAGATCAGTATGAATTCAAATTCAGTATGAATTTATTCGACGTCCAAGTTTCATACTCAGTCTTTTGTTCAGTAGTCATTAGTTTCATAAAGTTCTGATCAGTTTCTAAGTGTTAAAGTTATGAAATAAACAAATACATCAACGTCATATCTGTTTTACTGATCAAGTGTTCACAACTTTGAAAATAGCTTTTGTTTAGCAGCAGAAAGAACCTACAAAATTGTGTGCCTAGACAATATTAGAATTGGTGGTTCCAGCATTACATGGTGTCAGCATTTTTGAAAATCACTTCTACAAAGTTTCTATTATATTCTAACATTGCCTAGGTTCTCCATCATGGACTTGAGATAAAAAAAAATAAGGTCAGCTAATGAAAATTGTTAAAAAACGATCAATTTATGAGCATAACCAATCCTGTCAAATTTGACACTTCTTATACACATGAAATGATCAGCAAATGAAACGTCAAATTTTTTGGATGAACTTTATGTTAATTTCGATAGTTAATTAATAATAATTTTAAATAATTTGTTGCATAGTGTATTAATATAAACATATTATGAAAATAATCTATTGTTTTAAATTTTCACATTTTCAATTTCTATTTTTCTTCTTGTAGCTAAGTTCACAACTTTTATTTTAATGTTTGTTAGTTCACTGACGTTTGAACAGATGTCGCCACGTTGGCCATTGCAATATTCTGTCAAAAAATGCAAAATAAAT